ATTGAAGTGCCTGTCTTCATAGCAATATTAACATCGTCAAAAGAACAATGATCAGTAGAAAGGCACTTTCAAACTTCCAAGCATTAATAATGCTGAACACTTTTCCTTTATAAAACGTGCATAAACCATACAGATGTCCACTTTGATTATACCCTTCTACCTGCTGCCTGTCTGGAGCTTCCCGGCCCCATCCTTCTCCCCAGACTGTCCACTTCTGTTGCATTCATTGTGGCAGATGTGTAATTTTCAGGGAATGAGATAGGAAAGATGTGCAAGCCAGGATTATTTAAAATGGTGGCTCTCAAACATTTTGAGTGTGTCTCAGTCACTTAGATGGCTTGTTAAAACACAGAGTCATTGGGCACCATTCCTAGTGTTTCTGGATGAGTATGAATGGGGTGGGGCCTGATAATTTGCATTTCTAACCAGCTGTCAGGTGATGCTAATGCTGCTGGTCCAGGTACTACACTTCGAGAATCAGAGGAGGGTACTTTCTGATCAAGAGAAACTAATGAAGTGTGTTAATTGCTAGTTGATAGTAGGATTCAAGGAAACACAAGTGAAGTTATTCTAGAAGCCATAGCAGCACTTAGGCTTGGCAGTTAACTGTGGGTAATCGAGGGAGCCTCCCGTTTTTAAAGGCTTGTACTCCCTCTCCAGGGCACAGGAAAACAGGGAAACTGTTCTAGTAATCTGCTGTTTTTCAAGTAGTTGAGGTAACTAGGAGATCATTGTAATTCCAGTTTTTCAAAGAAAGAAGGTAGATTCCCCATTAGACCAGGGAATTTAACAATCATAGGGAAGATTCTGATACAGAAAGGGAGAGGATAAGGGGGCCTGGCGGGCTCAGTCAGTGGAGCGTGTGACTCTTGATCTTGGGGATGTAAGTTTGAGTCCTATGTTGGGAATAGAGATTATTTAAAACATGAAATATTTAAACATAAATAAATAAGAAAAGGACATATCTGAGAGCCAAAATTAAAACAGAACAAACAGGCTAGTTTTCTTTTTGTTACTTGAATAAATTTCTGGACTTAGTAAAACTGTGGCAGGCAAGGCCATCCCTAATCTAGCCTTGCATTATCATCCTGCTCCCCTTCCTTTCTCCTCTCTCTCCGAGATGATCTCTTTCTCTCAGTGTCCACGCACACTGTCTCTCCCGCTTTACTTTTAGTTCTCTGAGCAAAACATGCTCTCTTATACCTGTGTGCTTTCCCCGTATACTGTTCCATCTGTATGGCATGCCCTCCCTCTCTCCCTCTTCCTTTCCACCTGTTTATTTATGGCTTTCATTTAAGATAACTTTGTGATCCTTTTACTGGAGATCAGGTGCTTTAGCTATAGGCTTCCATAGCATTCGGCATTAACCTTTATTGTGATGTTAATCACTCTATTTTCTTTTCTTTTCTTTTTTTTTTTTTAAAGCTTTTATTTATTTATTTGACAGAGAAAGACACAGAGAGGGAACACAAGCAGAGGGAGTAGGGTAGGGAGAAGTAGGCTTCCCGCGGGGCAGGGAGCCCAATGAGGGGCTTGATCCCAGGAGCCTGGGATCATGACCTGACCGAAGGCAGATGCTTAACGACTGAGCTACCCAGGCTCCCCCGCGCTATTATCTTTTATCTGTATCAATACCCCCCCCCCATACACTGTAATTTGATTTTTACCCTTTTCAGAATCTTTTTTCAAAATGCTTTTAATTAATTAATTAATTAAATTTGTTTTAGAGGGAGAGGGAGTGGGGGAATCCCAAGGAGGCTCTACACTTTGGGGCTTGATCCCACAGCCCTGAGATCATGACCTGAGCCAAAATCAAGAGTCAGATGCTCAGTGGACTGAGCCACCCAAGTGTCCCTACTTCCTTTTATCTTTGAGTCCTTAGCATTGTATAGGGTTCCTGGAACATAATAGGCCATAGTACATGTTGAATAAAGGAATTCAGTCATTCTGAGAAATGTTGTCAACATAATGCGGTAATGGAGTTCCAAACTTAGGTCCAAGTCTCTGCTTCTTTAGCTACTTAGAGCAAGTTTGTTTAAACTCTTTGAGCCTCAACTTGTACTAAGTCTTCATTCCCTAATATAGTGCTCAAATGGCCGCTGCTGTTTTACTATATTTGCGTCTTGGAAGACAGTTTAACAGTCTTACAGTATCCTTACAATCATGATGTGGAATTTTGGACTATGTGCTATAATTAATTCAGAAGTGGTGAAACTTAACATTTTTTATAAGGTTTTCACTAGGGACATGCTCCATGGCTTGATTTCTTTGTTCTGAGCATTTCAGTATTTTAGTAACAGCTCAGTTGTGGATGTTGATGGCATGCTGACTCTTGCTTACAAGGAGAGTTTCTTTGGCTAATTAAGATCCTGGAGGTTCTTGACTGATTGGTAGACAAGGTGATATTTTTAAAGGAATTGATGTAAATTATTCAGCTGGGATCAAAAAGCTCAATGATATGAATTCAGAATTGGAAGTGGGAGAGGAAGGAAAAAGAAGGTAATGGTTCCGAATCAGTATGTGAGAGGAGTAGGGATTTGGATTAAACCAGACTCAGGAGAAGCAACATGCGGTGTAACTGCCAACAAAGCCTTTGTGATACTCGACTGCATCAGAGGGAGAAGCATATCTGGAACGTGGGAAGTAATGAATCTGTTCCATCCTGGCTGGTCATGCCCCCTGAGAAGTACTGTAGCCCGTTCTGGATACCACTTCTGAGAGGCATAGTGATAGGAGAGAGGCCAGATAAGACTGAAGACAGACTGCTTCAAAGAAGAACGTGTGTGGGAAAAAAACATAGCCTGGAGAAAGCAAGCCCGCGGAGTGGGGGTGGGAGGTGTAGGAGATGTCTTTGGACACTGGAAGGAGGCTTGCTTAGGCTTCTGAGCAGCCACAAAGCCCAGAACTAGAACCAAAGTGTGGAAGTTACAAAGAAGCACATTTCTAGTTAAAACCAGGGGAAACACTTTTCACAATCAGGATGATGGAGCCCCTCTTCATCATTGGAGGGGTAGAAGGAGTACTTGGATGAACGGGGATGTTATTACGTGGGTGTGTCACTAATACAGTGTAGCTGTTGAATTAATGGAGATTCTGTTGCTAATACAGTGTAGCTGTTGAATTAATGGAGATTCTGTAAAGAAAGTTCTTCACTTTGTTTTGTTTACAGTGTACATTCCTGAATCGAATGTTTGGTACCACACTTGAAAGATTTAAAAGTAAAATCTTTTTCAGAGAAGTAAGTTGCAAAAAGAAAAAAATTCTTCAGTTATCATCACACACTCCTTTTGTCCTCCCTACAAAGTTATTTTCTATTGCTTCTCTCCTATTTTCGTAAATACTCACCAAGTTAAGTTTTCGAGAATTTGGTTAGACTCCACTAGGCCTTTTCCCTTATTGCAGCGGGGTTCCTGTTGTTCGGGAACACTCAGGCAAACATTGTGCCTGAAAGATAGAATTGTGACAGTGTATCCTCAGTTGTAGTAAAGTTAGATGTTACACAGGGCTGGTAATTTGGTGGTACACCTTCGAAGGGTTTACAGGATGTCTGAAGTGCTACAGCATACTGTGTGTGGACCTCCAGACAGCAATGATTCTGGGGGGAAAGAACCGAGGAAAATGGGAAATAAACTAAGAGATCAGTAGATGATTCTAGAAAGATGTACCTGCTTCCTATTTCCCCCAACACTGCTTTCCTCAGATGTGGAGACAAACTGCCCTACCCCGAGGAACTCCTTCCCTCTTAGAACCACTTTCATTAGCCCTTCTTTCCTCTACCTCTTCGTCCTTCTCAGCAGAATCTGGCATCCCTTGTTTCCCTTTGCGTTTAATTTCAGGATTAGAACTAGTGTACATTGTGTGCGAGGCATTGCAAAATAAAGCATACACACACAGAATGTCATTGGTGAGCCCAATCTCTAAGCCCATGATTAGCAAGTTAAAAGTGTTAAATGACTGTACAGTAATGGCTTTATGTGTGTGTGTATGTGTATTTGTTTGCCATAAATACTTGGGCCCACCATGAGGACACACATTGACAATTGAAAGTATGGGGGAAGATGGGGAGAAAGAAGGAAATAGGAAACTTTACATGTAAATAAAAATAGAAGTATTTTTTTTAAATAATTTTTTGTGTGGCCCAGTCAGTTAAGCATCGACTTAATTTCGGCTCAAGTCATGATTTCAAGGTCAAGATGGAACCCCACATTGGGCTCTGTACTCAGCGGGGAGTCTGCTTGAGATTTTCTCTATCCCTCTTCCCCCACTTCCACTCATGTGTGCACTCTTGCTCTCTCCCAAATAAATAAGTAAATAAATCTTTGAAAAAAATTATTTTTTTTTACCTGTATTTGATTGCCTGCCTTCGGGGATTGTGAAGGGCTAATGCCTTTGGCTGTCCATAAGGAGAAGAGTTCCAGTTTCATTTGAAGTGTTCCCTCATTGAAACAGCTTGCAGCATCCAGGAGGACTTCTTATTTCAATTATTATCTGAATTTAAAATTGTTAAATGTATGTTGTACTTTTTTCTACTGATGTTGTTTAAGCAGTTTATTTTTTTAAGATTTTATTTAGTTATTAGAGAGAGAGAGAGCGCATAAGAGCAGGGGTGAGGGCCAAGGGAGAAGGAGAGAAACAGAAGCAGACTCCTCACTGAGCATGGAACCCGGTGCGGGTCTCCGTCCCAGGACCCTGAGATCATGAGCTGAGCCAAAGACAGATGCTGCACTGGCCGAGCCCCCCACACATTCGTGTTGAAGTAGTTTAAAAATGAGGTACTTTTAGGCTTAACGAAAATTATTCTCAGAATTGTTTTTCATGTGTATAGGATGCCAGGTGAGGGATTTGACCACAGCCATGTGCTATTTTGTTTTCTGTGCCTGGTGTTCATACTGTGTGCATGAACCTGTGAAGGAATTTGGGTTTGCTTTAGAGCTAAAGTAGTATGTATACATGTGTCAAACTGTTATTTCAATTATTGTTTCACTTTTTAAAATTTTCAGCATGTTGGAACAGGATTCCAGGAGAAAAAATCCTAGTGTGAACCCTGCAAGTCAAAGGAGGCATCTTCTAGAATTTTCTGCTAAAGAGGTGGAAGACACATCAGATGGTATCATCCAGAAAAGTAACTACAGGTTAGAAGACAGTATGTCTCTGTTAAAATGATTTAATGAAACTGCCATGGGGAATCATATAGTATAACTTTACATCTAAATCGCTTATGCATAGTTTTAATTTGTAGAACAAACAAGTTATTGAGGCCCTTAGTAAATTCTACTGTTAAGGTCAGTTTTAAGAATAAATTTGCTTTTTGAAACCTTTCCCAATTTTGGAATTCTTACGGAGATGTGACCTTAAAAATCTCCGTTTGTGTGTACTAAGATACATATGGAAGCAAATACAATATATACACATTGTATTATACATAATGTTTTTAATATAGTTTTTTTAATCGGTCATATGGTTACACGTATAGTGCATGTGATAGTATCATCTTGTGAGGACAGTGGTCTGGTGGGGTGATACGGGTGAGCCTGAGTGCGGTCAGTCATCTGATCAGATCGTTTATACTTATTGTGATTTTCGTCGGATCTTCCTCTCGTTACGGTTTATCATTCTGGTAAATTTCTCTATAGCTTGCCAATAGTAGCAGACTTAAAATTTTTTGAAAAGACAAGGTTTGTATTATGTCAACTAGAAGCAGGCTACAATGGACATTTTCAGAGCTGTATACTTTTTGATAAACATTTCCCTGTGTTATTTGGAATTTTTATTAGAACCGAGTGGAGTGAAGTCCTTGACTAACAAAGCAAAGGAAGGTCACAGTGTGGCAACGATTGCACAATACAATGCTTGAGAATCATTAAAGATTTGTTTACTTGTGACTTTGTAAAGTTCTACAGGCCAAGGGCCATAGTGGAATCTTTTTTTAAAATTTTTATTGTGACAGCCATATCACTGAATGAAATTACTACTGTAGTCCTGTGGGCTTGTCTCCTTTTAGCCTTCCTGGAAAAAAATGCTAGTATTCATTATTTTAGGAATCTGCAGTGTGTCAAGTGTTAAGCGTGGCAGAGGATCCAGAGAATTAAAGGGCAGTGAGTTTAGCTGATGCGGCCTGCGGTGTGATGGATGCCATAACGTTGGAAAATATTAGATGACATTTCTTGCTTTTTTTTTTTTATCACGCCCAAAATAGCCATACTTCTGAAATACTGATCTTAGTGCTCACTTAACAGTGTCTTTGAATATTGCTAGAGTTTAATAGTATCTCATTTTACTGCGTAATTTGTCCAAGTTTGCCCTACATGTTCTGCATGTAATTTTGAGTTGTGTTATCCACATGCGAACCATCAAAACTTAGGTTTTAAATTTGGGTTTACGAGCATTGAGAATATGCCACGTGCCTTTTAGGTACCTGTTGCTGGTTGGTTGTTAAAAAAGTAGAACTAGTTATTGATTATGTACTTGAAATTACAGTTCAGGTAACCCTTACAGGAATACTACTTATTTTGAGCTAACCTCAGTAAATAGCGGCCTTCACCTATTTGCCTGTGGTGGAGTAAAGTAACGTGGGAAGCATAGTGCTCTGGTCATCCTAGTTCAACCTAGATGTTTGAATGACCTTCAGGCTGTAATTTCTCAGTTTTCAAAGTAGTATATGAAAGACAAGCTATTTGCTGTTCCCCACCCCAGAGTCTGGGTTACTGGTATTAGTAAAAAAAATTGGAAAAGATTATGGATTCTTGACTGCATGCAAATATCTTGAAATATCTAAGATTATTATTGAGGAGCTTGGGGGATGCAAGTAGGTATTAGTCCATCAACTCGATACTCTTGATTTTATCATTATAAATACTAAATAAAAGATAACCGAGAATGTTTGTGCAACATTTGAAAGCAGCAGATACAAATGTGTTTTGAACTGCATTTTAGTTGGTTTATTTATACACAGCCATGACACTATATTTTTTTAATATATTTTATTTATTTTATTTTATTTTTCAGTGTTCCAAGATTCGTTGTTTATGCACCACACCCAGTGCTCCATGCAATACGTGCCCTCCTTAATACCCACCACTAGGCTCCCCCATTCCCGCACCCCACCCTCCAAAACCCTCTGTTTGTTTCTAAGTCCACGGTCTCTCGTGCTTCGTCTCCCCCTCCAGTTTCCCCCAATTCACTTTTCCTTTCCTTCTCCTAATGTCCTCCATGTTATTCCTTATGCTCCACAAATAAGTGAAACCATATGATAATTGACTCTCTCTGCTTGCCTTATTTCACTCAGCATAATCTCTTCCAGTCCCGTCCATGTTGCTACAAAAGTTGGGTATTCATCCTTTCTGATGGAGGCATAATACTCCATAGTGTATATGGACCTCTTCTTCCTTATCCATTTGTCCGCTGAAGGGCATCTTGGCTTTTTCCACAGTTTGGTGATTGTGGCCATTACTGCTGTGAACATTGGGGTACAGACGGCCCTTCTTTTCACTACATCTGTATCTTTGGGGTAAATACCCAGTAGATGACACTGTATTTTTCAATGCAGCTTACTTTTTATTATGTTTCATTTTTTAGGAGAATTATGAGAACTGGTTCAAATAAAAAAGGAGTAGATTGTAATCCCATAGTTTATAACATTGCATTCTCTTAGCATATAGTAATTAACTGCATATATGTTTTCAGTTTTAGAAATGTGTGGTTTATAATAAGATGAGCACTTAATTTGTCCAACCAAACTGGGACACTTAAGAATGAAAGGGAGTGCTAAGTAATAATTACATCAGGACCTCAGGTGTAAATTCGAGACTGTCTTGGATAAATGGGAAGGGATGGTTACCCTACATAGAAGGCATCAGCCAGAATAGAATCCCTATCCCAGGGATTCTCATTAACTCTCCCTAGCTCTGTCCTTTACTTAAGTGATTTATTTGCTGAAATGGTGTCTATCGATGTGAAATAGCTTGCAAGCAGCCTAGAACCCGACCGCATCAGGATTAGTGTGGATGTGATTGTCTCCAGATTGCATGTTGGCTTAGAGTCTCCCTTTTCTTTTCCCTTCAGCTCCACCCAGTTCTTTTCCTGGTATTTCTCCTATCAGATTTTTATTTTTTTTTTTCCAAAGAATATTTTGGCTGATCAAACAAAGCAAGTTAGCACAGATGTGCAGATGTCATTACACTAGAGTTTATCACCTGGAAATAAAATCATAGATCAAAAATACATCTTCAAAAGTAATTTTAGACTTGTCTGAATGATAGGAGCATTTGTATTTTTTGAAAGTATGAAGACCTGATTTTTTAAACTAAGACACATGTGACAGGTCTTTGTTCTTTTTTTTAAGTGTAGCAACCAGCCCCCCTGCTAGGCACATTCATCCAGTACAAGGGAGAGGTTTTTTCCTTCTCCCTCAACGCTTAATTTTAGGGCAGTGTGTGTGCAGTTACTACCTCTGCACCCTCATTTCTGTGTTATTCCAAACAGTTTAACTCTCAGAGGCAGAGGACAGGACTGGAGAATGTTCTGCTTCGACTTGAAGGGAAGAATGATGTGTGTATCCTCAGCTGTTGCTCTTTTTCCGTGGTGTGTGGCATACAGAGAAGTCTGTAACTTTTCTCCTGAAGTTAGTTTTCTAGTCTGCCAAAATTATTTTTGTCACGGAGGCCAGTTATTTCAGTGTTGCCAAATTCAGTGGAAACTTCTGTCTTCGTCTTGATCTTTCCTCTGCATCTGGCCGTGTGGATCCCTCCTTTCTCGAAACATTCTCCCTTTCGTTGCTACATTTTTCAGTTTCCATCTTTTCCACCGGCCTCTGTCTCGGTCATCTTTCTGGGCTCCTCCTTCATCCAAATCTCATCGTCCGGAACTGTGGACTTTCAGTTTTCTTCCTGCTTCTGTGACTCACGCTGGTTCACCGCTCTCCGTCTTCACTGCCAGCACCCTAGTACCGCTAGCTTCAGCTCTTGCCTGGCTTCCAGCCCTCTCCTCACTGGTCTCCGAGCTTCCCCTGTGGCCTCCATTGAATCCATTTTTGGTACAAGGGCAGGGGCAAGGATACACTGAAATACATCACTTCTCTCCTTAAGTAATACCTTATAATCTGGTCTCTCTTTCTCTTTTTTTTTTTTTTAAGATTTTATTTCTTCATTTGAGAGAGAGAGAGGCAGAGAGGATGAGCAGGCAGAGGGCCAGAGGGAGTGGGAGAGGGCAAGCAGACCTCCCCGCTGAGCAGGGAGCTGACACCGAGCTCCTTCCCTGGACCCTGAGGTCATGACCTGAGCCGAAGTCAGATACTTAACTGACCGAGCCACCCAGGCACCCCCTGGTCTCTGTCTTTCTAACCTTGTCTTGTGTTTCCCTCACTTGCTCACAACTCTTCATCGGGTGAGTGGTCTTCTTTAAGTTCCTGAAGGCCACCTTCTCCTGACCTGTGTCTGTCTAGATAACTCTCTCCCCAGTTGCTATGGTGCTGGCTGCTTCTCATCCTTTAGGCCGTCTCCTCGGACCATTTCCTCTAAAGTAGAGACTGCCATTGTTTTTCTATTTCTAGTTCTTAATTTGGATTTATTTTATGTATTTGTTCTCTTATATTTGGCGCATCTCCGCCGTTAAGGTCTCTGAGGATAGGGACTTCATTTCGCTTGCTCCCCATTGGACTCCTAGCGCAGGGCCTGGCACATCGTTGGTATTCGGTAAATACTGGTTCAGTGAATTAATGAAAACTGTGAATCTAGCCGTGTCTGATTTTGTGTACATTTTTTCTTTTTGGGTGTTAGCTAAATATCTAGTCTTCTAAATCTAGAGCATCGAATGTAAAGAAATTCAAGACAGATCTAGGATTTGTTAGTGAGAAAGGTTACAGTAGCGGCAGCAGACAATAAACAGCGCTGATGCCCCCAGCTCAGCCTCTGATTTTCAGCCTGGGTTTAGCTCCCTCCGTCATACCACGGATAGTGAATTCAGTGTGACGGTTAGGAAGGTATATTTTTCGAAGCTGATGGAGTCCCTGACTGGTTAATGTTACTTTGGTGTTTTATTAGTGACTTGGATTCTTCCCTGATTCTAAAATTTATGTTCAACTTTTCAGCGCTCACTTCTTTCCCACCAAGTGTTTTATGCTCTTCCTTACCCCCACCACACACAGTTTGAAGGAGACTTGAGTTTTGTTATCGCAGAATTGTGAATGACCACAGACTTTAGTCTGTTCACCCTATACTATCTTTCCTGTCAGTCAGCGGGTCCTTCCCCCACGTCCATTCCTGTGTCACCTCTGTTCCAGCAGCACTATGTATGCCTCAAGTTCACGGAAGACACGGACCTTGTGTTATCGTTGTTTCTTTAGTTTTTGGCATATAGTCATTGCTCAATAAATAGTGGCTGGATAAATGTGAACTACCATGGCAATCTGCAGAACACTGGAAAGTGACATTTGTGCCACATGGTCTACACTTCCCTCCCTTTCTGTTGCATTTGCTTCCATCTTGCACTATGTCCTATTTACTATATTTTTATTTCCATGAAAAGTTAATAATAGTAATGACTTTCTTATAGCAAACTACTTAGGAATTTAAGATGCAAGGTTTTGTGCATATGTTTTTCAGATATGATCATTCTGTTTCAAATGACAAGGCCCTCATGGTCCTAAGTGAAGAACCACTGCTCTATATCCCTCCGCCTCCTTGTCAGCCCCTGATTAACACCACAGAATCTCTCAGGTGAGTGTTGTAGATCATCACACAAATATCTGAGTGGGTTCCTGGGGTTAGCTTTGGAACGTAGAAAACTGTTCAGATTAGTTAAGTGACTGGGAGAAGCTCTGATTGTGTGTTGGACGATCATAGGCTTATCAGTTGTTGTCCAGTTTCCCCAGCAACCTGATAAAGATGGCGATGGGTCTATGCTGCATGGTAGTGTTTGGTTGCTAGTTAAATATGCCTTATTTGAAAACTACAGAATGATATATAAACTTATAGGATGTTAGACTTGAGAAGTGGTAACATTCATAGGAGAAGGGGCCTTTTTCTTCAACTTAGGAAGACAGCAATTTGAAGAGAATGATTCTGGAGATATTTTCCCGTTAGGGCACACCTTACCATTCCTCATCTCCTTTTTCCTTGAATATTTTCCTTTGATTTTGGATTCTTTTCTTGAACTTCAAAAATTGCTTCAGTTTTTTAAAGTCATAATCAGCTCTAGTTAAGTAAGCATCGTCTAACATCTTCACAACTGCTGTAAAAAGTAAGCACAATAAATGGAACCTACATTTGAACTAGTTCTTTTTTTATTTGCAGTGTTGGAAATTTTGGTTTATAGTGTATTGAAATTTATTTCTTTCCTTTTTTTTTTTTTCCATGAGCAATTGAGTTCATTCTTTTCCTTCTCCCAAAAATAGTACGATTTTCAAAGGCTTTAATGCATCCATTTCCTGGTAGGATCCTACAGTTTACTAAATGTTCTTCAGTGTCTCCAGGGTTGTGCGGATGTAGCCCAAGAGCAGAAATAGGAAGTACTCTTCTTTGAAAAAACCTTTGCATTCTGTTTCTATATTTGGAATGTATTTAGTTATGGGTTTTTAAAAAAACCTGAACTCATGATTGAGGAGTCTACTATATAAAAATGCATGTTGTATTAAAATAACGTTAGTATCTGAGCTTTTTCAATCAGATAGGAGTATCGAATCATTAGGCACTAGGGATGCTATTTGGACCTTAGAGAATGTAATTAAATGAAATTTTTTAATAAAGATTTTTATTTATTTGACAGAGATCACAAGTAGATAGAGAGGCAGGCAGAGAGAGAGGAGGAAGCAGGCTCCCCGCTGAGTAGAGAGCCCGATGCGGGGCTCAATCCCAGGACCCTGGGATCATGACCTGAGCCGAAGGCAGAGGCTTTAACCCACTGAACCACCCAGGCACCCCTGATTAAATTAATTTTTAACCAAAAGTGAGAGATTTATTTCTATGAAGTATGCTTAATTAACTAAGCTGTTTTATAGGTTAAATCATGAACTTCGAGGATGGGTTCACAGACATGAAGTGGAAAGGACCAAGTCAAGAAGAATGACGAATAATCAACAGAAAACTCGTATTCTTCAGGTTTGTTTCTGCTTGTCTTTGAACAGTGGTTGGCATACAGGTTGGCCTTCTTCCTTCAGATAGGTTGCTTTCTTCCCTAAAAAATTGGAAAACTTGAACTTCAGTCACTTCCCACTGGCTCCTGCTGCTTCAGATGCAGCCATCACTGCCCCGGAAGCCCTGGTCCCAGGTGTTAGAGCACTAATAGCTCTTTCCTGGGTCTCTCGCTCCTTCCTGCTCTCTCCCTCAAATTTACTTTCAAGCCAGGGATTCCTGTGCATGGACATCTGTGTCCAATGTTTTTGGCACAAATGGTATGATAAATGGTACTGTTTGTCTCCTCTGTTCTTAGAGCTTTTCAGAAAGAAGGTTTTAAAACATAGGACAGCTTGGAAATGGAGGCACATCTTCCTGGAGAGCATTTTTGAACTTAGATGTGTGGGTCTGGCTACGGGTTAATGGCAGCTCTTATTTAGAACCTATTTAGCTGGGCCTCCTTTTTGCGGGGGGGGCAGTTAGGATTTTATTTTTAAGTAATCTCTGCACCCAACATGGGGCTCGAACTTCGAACTCTGAGATCAGGAGTCACATGCTCTACCTACTGAGTCAGCCAGGTGCTGCAGATGGGCTTCCACTTTCATGTTTACCACAAAGCATCGTTTGTAGTCATTCCATCATTTGTCAGCTACTCATTATTACTTCTGAAGCACTTAGACTAGCAACTGGCACATTCTAAGCTCCCAACAAACATTACCTATGATAGAGAGAGGCAAGATGGCAGAGGAGTAGCAGACTGAAATGACATCAGATCCCAGGAGTTCAGCTAGATAGTTATCAAACCATTCCAAACATCTCAAACTCAACAGGAGATAAAAGAGAAGAGGAGCAGCAATTCTAGGAACAGAAAATCAACCACTTTCTGAAAGGTAGGACGTGTGGAGAAGTGAATCCGAAGCAACGGGAAGATAGACTACGGCGGGAGGGGCCTGCTCCCGGCGAGCAGTAGAGCAGTGGAGCATAAAATCAGAACTTTTAGAAGTCTGCTCCTCTGAGGGACATTGCTCCAGAGGCTAAGCAGGGGTGGAGCCCTCGCGGGGACAGTGTGGTCTCAGGTCTCACAGTCACAGAAAGATCGGGGGTGTCTGAGTGTGGCAGACCTGCCACGTATCAGAGCGGGGTAGCCGGCTACAGAGACCTTGGAGCTGAGGAGTGAGCTCTCAGCTCGGGGTTACCTTAAACTGGGATCCGAGGCACAGTTGAGCCACTGCTCTTGGAGCAGGGATCCCCCAAGTGGCACATCTGGGGAGGCTCACCTTTTTCCTCCAGAAGGAGCAGCGTGGCAGGAATCTGCTGGGTTTGGAGACTCCAAATGGGGCTGTGCACCAGAGACAAAAATGCTGTGTCACAGGCTGGGTGAGCTCAGAGTGCGGTCAGAGACCAGGAAGACAGGAGAGATTGACTGCTTTTCTCTGAAGGTGCACTGAGGAGTGTGACCCCAAGCTCTCGGCTCCTCTGGGCCGGAGACTGGGAGGCCGCCATCTTCATTTCTATCCTCCAAAGTGGTATGGAATGCGTTCAGGGAATAAAAGCTCCAAGAGTGGACCTGAGCAGATTACTTACCCTGGTCCCTGGCAAGGGTGGTGCAATTCCACCTTGGGCAAAGACATTTGAGAATCACTGCAACAGGCCCCTCCGCAGAAGATTAGCGAGAACATCCAGCCAAGACCAAGCTCACCGATCAAGGAGAACAGCAGAACCCTAGAGCTAGGGGAAAGCAACTCATAGAATTCATGGCTTTTTCTCCATGATCCTTTGGTCTTGCAAAGTTAAATTTTTTTTTTTTTTAAGATTTTATTTATTTATTTGACACAGGGAGAGAGATTGCAAGTAGGCAGAGAGGTAGACAGAGAGAGAGGGGGAAGCAGGCTTCCTGCTGAGCAGGGAGCCCTATGCGGGGCTTGATCCCAGGACCCTGAGATCATGACCTGAGCCGAAGGCAGAGGCTTAACCCACTGAGCCACCCAGGCACCCAAGTTAAAATTTTTTAATTTTTTTTTCTTACTCTTTCTTTTTAACTTTTCCTCTTTCCTCTTTTAACTATTTTATCTTAACAGAACCTTTCTAAAAAAAAACCAATCATTTTAAACCTTCATTGTTATAGTCATATTTTATCCCTTCATTGTATTTAACCTTATATTTTGTATACATATAGGTGTTTTTTTTTTTCTTTTTTTTTTTTTTTAGATTTTATTTATTTGACAGACAGAGATCACAAGTAAGCAGAGAGGCAGGCGGAGAGAGTGGAAGGGAAGCAGGCTCCCCGGTGAGCAGAGAGCCTGATGGGGGGCTTGATTCCAGGACCCTGGGATCATAACCTGAGCCGAAGGCAGAGGCTTTAAACCACTGAGCCACCCAGGCGCCCCAGGTTTTTTTTTCCTAAAAATTTTGGGATACAATTTCTTCTAATAGATCAAAATATACCCTAATCTAGGACATGACTTTGTTCTAGTCTCCACCCTGAGCATATTCCGTCCTCTTTTTTTTTCTCTTTTTCCAACCAATCTTATCAATTCCATTTTTAGAATTTGTAAAAAAAATTTTCATCTTTACGGTCATATTCCATCCCTTCATTGTGTTTACCCTTATTTTTGTATATATATATGTTTTTCTTTATTTAAAATTATAAAATAGTATCTTCTAATAGACCAAAATACACCCAAAATCTATTGGGTGGTTCTGTTCTATTCACCAGTCTAATATATAAATATTATTTTTTATTTTTTATTTTTAAATTTTTATTTCTTTTTTCTGTCTTTCCACTTCCCCCAGTTTTGGATCTCTTCTGGTTTGGTTAGTGTACATTTTTCTGGGGTCTTTGACACCCTTTTAGTATTTTATTCTCTTGTTCATATATTCTTATCTGGATAAAATGACAAGGTAGAAAACCCCCCCAAAAAAAGTTTATAGCAAGAGGGAGTACCGATGGCTAGGGACCTAATCAATATGGATGTTGGTAGTATGTCAGAACTAGAGTTCAGAACAATTCTCAAGGTGCTAGCTGGCCTCAAAAAAGGCATGGAAGATATTAGAGAATCCCTTTCTGGGGAAATAAAATCCCTTTCTGGAGAAATAAAAGGACTAAAATCTAACCAAGTTGAAATAAAAAAAGCTGTTAATGAGGTGCAATAAAAAATCCAGGCTCTTACAGCTGGGATAAATGAGGCAGAAGAGAGAACTAGTGATATAAAAGACCAAATGATGAAGAATAAAGAAGCTGAGCAAAAGAGAGACAAACAACTACTGGACCATGAGGGGATAATTCAAGAGAGAAGTGATACCGTAAGACGAAACAGTATTAGAATAATTGGGATTCCAGAAGAAGAAGAAAGAGAGAGGGGGCAGAAGGTATATTGGAGCAAATTATAGTAGAGAATTTCCCTGATATGGCAAAGGGAACAAGCTTCAAAATCCAGGAGGCACAGAGAAGCCCCCTCAAAATCAATAAAAATAGGTCCACACCCTGTCATCTAATAGTAAAACTTACAAGTCTTAGTGACAAAGAGAAAATCCTGAAAGCTCGGGACAAGAAGTCTGTAAAATACAATGGTAGAAATAATTAGATCGGCAGCAGACTTATCCACAGAGACCTGGCAGGCCAGAAAGAACTGGCATGATACATTCAGGGCACTAAATGAGAAAAATATGCAGCCAAGAATACTATATCCAGCTAGGCTATCACTGAAAATAGAAGGAGAAATAAAAAGCTTCCAGGACAAACAAAAATTAAAAGAATTTGCAAACACCAAGCCAGTCCTATAGGATACATTGAAAGGAGTCCTCTAAGCAAAGAGAGACCCTAAAAGTAGTAGACCAAAAAGGAACAGAGACAATATACAGTAACAGTACTGTACAGGCAATACAATGGCAATACACTGGCACCAAATTTACAGGCAATACAATGGCACCAAATTCATATCTTTCAGTAGTTACCCTGAATGTAAATGGGCTACATGCCCCAATCAAAAGGCACAGGGTATCAGAATGGATGTACTTAAGACCTTTCTTGTTTCTTGAGAAACAAGAAAGGTCTTAAGTACACAACCTAACCCTACACTTAAAGGAGCTGGAGAAAGAACAGCAAAGAAAGCCTAAACCCAGCAGGAGAAGAGAAATCACAAAAATCAGAGCAGAAATCAATGAAATAGAAACCAAAAGAACAGTAGAACAGATCAGCAAAATTAGGAGCTGGTTCTTTGAAAGAATTAGTAAGATTGATAACCCCCTGGCCAGACTAATCAAAAAGAAAAGAGAAAGGACCCAAATAAATAAAATCATGAATGAAAGAGGAGAGATCACAACCAACACCAAAGAAATATGAACAATTATAAGAACATATTATGAGCAACTATATGCCAGCACATTTGACAATCTGGAAGAAATGGATGCATTCCTAGAGACATATAAAGTACCAAACTGAACGAGGAAGAAACAGAAAACCCGAACAGTGGGATTGGAGATTAGAGGTTAAATTGAAAGATGAGTGGCTATGTTAGATCGAATAGCCATTCTAGAGAAGGCTTCTCTGAAGAGCGCTTGAGAAGGTATTGTCAGGGTGATTAATGCTGGATGTTTTAACAACTAGCCTCAAAATCTCAGTAGCTAAGTGGAATAAGAATTGGTTTCTCACCTACACAAAGTTTGCTGTAGCTCTCTGGGGTGGCTTTCCTTCAAGCAGTAACTAAGGAATCCAGGTTCTTTCCCCTTTGTGACCCCAACAACTTGAAATTCTTCGCTTCTAGCTTCGGATGTTGGGTAAGAGAGAGTTTGGAAGATTGTGAAGAATGTTTTAGGGATCCAGCCTGGACAGTAGCCAATGTCCAGTTGACTAAAACTCTTGTCACTTTTTGCAGTCTGTCTTGCAGTAGGTTAGGCAAATGTCATCTTCTGTGTGCTTAGGAAGAAAACGATTTGGTGAGAATATTGCTTTTGTGGTAACAAAAAACGAAGGTGTGAACGGTATA